GATCCCCAGTACTAAAAAAAAAAAAAAAAAAAAAAAAAAAAAAAACCACACACACACACACACACACACAAATGCAGATAGGCTGATGTTCTAACTGCCGAAGACGAAATCAGAAAGGTTGCAATTCAGGTGTGGCCAGTGGGTGGCAGCAGCAGACAGGAACTTTGTCCCAAGGTCCGTGGAAATAAAGCCTCAGCTGGGAGGGGCGGTAGATGGTTTGGGCTGCCCGGGCCGAGCCCTCTGTTTTCTGTCCGGCTCACTCACCTGATGATGAAGAGACTGCCCTCTCTCCTGGTGTGGGTTCTGGTCGTGGCTGAGCCTGACCTCAGAAGCCTGCCCTCGAGAGATTTTTCCAGATGTTTCGCGGCGATCCTCACCATCGCACACCGTCCTGCACTCTCGGTCTGCGGGGCAGGGTTTTCATTGGTGACCTTACCCAGCCTTTACCACGCACAACTTCTGGACTAAAGCGGGCCAGGGAATTTATTCCCCTCCTCACCTCCCCGCGTGAGCCGAGAGGAAACTGAGGCCCAGGGGGGTGACTCCGAACGTCACACAGAGAGCCAGCAGGGAAAGTTGAATTCCTGGTTCGAGCCTGGGGTTGATTCGGCCACACCGGCCATGCCGTGGCTTACCCTTTCGAAGGCTCACACCGTCAGCGTTTGGGGGCTCTGCTCTTCACCGGGAGGGACTTCCAGCCCCTTAGGCCCTGGCCTCCGGAGTTGGCCCCCCGTCTCCTTTCCTCAGCCCGCAGGGTGCCTTCCTGTACTCAGCTGGCCGGCAGCGCCTCCTCCTTCTCCTCAGTGAGCAGGTTGGCTTTCTAGCCATGCAATCCTGAGAAATACCTGGGGGAAGGACTTCTACATAAGCAAATATGTAGATAAACAGCAAAGGAAAAGCTTTTCAGACCTGAAAAACCCTGAAAAGTTTCCAGCTGTCAATCTGCTACAAACACAGGGCTGCCGGGCACCCCCAGCCTCTATTTTCCGACTTCTTGCTGGTCTGAAGCCTCCGATTTCCTTGCTAGAAAGCTTTCAGGACTCAGCAACCGCAGCTTTCCCCGCTCATTCTGAAGGGAAGCTTCTCTCTTCCACCCGCTACCTGCTCTCTTTGGCCCCTGGATCTCCGGTTTTTCTTTCCAGTTTCAGTTACCCCAGGTCAGCTGTGGTGCAAGAGTATTAAATGGGAAATTCTCGATAGAAACATTTCACGGGTGTTACATACCTTTCACTGTAGTATATGACCATGATTATTTTATTATCCATGATTGGTAACCTCTTAGTGTGCCTGATTTATAAATTATGCTTTATTATAGGTGTATGTGGTATGGGATAACAACATATACCGGGCTGAGGGACCTGACTTCCCTCCTCAGGGGGAGGCTACCATAGCCCTATCAGAAACGTAGGGACTTGGGGTCAGGGATTTAGCTCAATGCTTCTACTGCCTGCCTTGCAAGTGCAAGGTCCTGAGTTCGATTCCCAGTACCTGGTACCAAAAAAAAAAAAAAAAAAAAAAAAAAAAAAA